GTCAATAAATACTTTGTTGGGCAAACATCTGTGGCAATATTTATAGAATCTTATGGAATGAAGAAGATGGGAAGCAGCCAAAGCTCTGCTTTTCTCAAAAAGAAGACACATTTATTTGTGCTTGAAGGAAAATTGACTGAAATTGTCCCAGTATAGAAATATAATCTCACACAATTCTTTAATCTAAGCTGGTTTAGGGTGAAGCTGGTCTCCCTTTAATCTTGAAGACAAAGACACTTCATCTAATGAAGTCTTTGCCTGTTTAATTCTACCTGGGTGTCTTCTTGGAGGAGCCAGAGTAACACAACATCCTTTACGTGATAGGCCAGTAGAATTTAACTCACCTACCTGTGAAATGCAGAAGGTAATCCACTTGGTCTCAGCAATCCCTAAGTCTTCCTTTTAGTCAGATATTCATGATCCATGATGCTTATGATTTTTGCTCTTGACCCACAAGGTTTTAGATCATGGTTAGGAGTTTGGAAGTCTCTCATGATTTTAATTCATAAGTCAGATCAAGTACAAAATATGACTTATGACTTAAAATCATAAGAGACTGGCTCTCATGAGGAAAGTATATTTTAGGGAACAAAAACAAATAAACAAACAACAACAACAACAACAACAACAACAAAACCAGGGCACTATACCAGTTAGGTGAGAAGAGTCATGGTAGTGGCTCTGTTTGAAATTGTTTGGATGCTTACAAGTGGAGGAAAAAAAAGAGAGACACTGTTTTTTTTTTTTTTTTTCACCCATATATGGTTTCCATTCTTGCTGCCATGGCTCATTGTAATGGGCACACTATTGAAGCTCAGCAATTTAGGTAAGCAAAGAGTGAGTCTCATTTTGTACACTTCATTACTAGTTAGAAAAGATTAATGTTTATGAAAGATTACGGAACTAGCTATTTTGAATCTTGGAGTACTAGAATGAAGTGTTTCCTGCAACTTTGGTAAGTCATGTGATGCAGATATTATTAGTGGCATAGAATTTTTATTTTTTTTGGCCCATGAATGTCTTCTCTGTAATTGATGCTCACTAGTGGACATTAGTGATGGAGCCTAAGTGTCTTCACACTATCCTTTCCTAAAGATCCATCAATGTACCTCTCCAAGATTAATTTTCCAATGTTCTGCTAACTTCTTGATCCATCAGTTTCTGCTCATGAAACTGTGTAGACTTGCATTTGAGATCACCAGCCATCTAAGCCCAAGGAACCTATCAGCATTCCCCTTGATAGTCTTCATCTGCACACTTTGGTCCTAAATATGTATCTCTAATCCTACTACCCAGCCCAAACTTCAGGAATTATCTTAAGATAGCTGTGGCCATATTTTAGTATGATATGGCTTGGATCTGAAGTGTCTCCCCAAAGTCCATGTGTTGAAGGCTTAGTTCCAGTGCAGCTGTGTTCATAGGTGATGACTTTGGAAGGTGATTGGGTTATGAGGGCTCTAACCCCATCATTGGAGTAGTCCTGAACAACTGTAGGAGATCAGAAACTCTTTTGAAGGTGTACTTGGGTTTTTCTAAATGCTCTTTCATGTAAGATGTTCATAGATTTCAGAACAAAGTGCCCCACTTTTTTTTTCTCATTCTAGAGATGGATCCCAGGAGTGCTCAAACAGTGAGCCACATTTTAGCCATTTAAAAAAAGTATTTTTGAGACAGGGTCTCAGTAAGTCTTTAGGCCCTCACTAAGTTGTTGGGGCTGGCTTTGAACTTGCAATCCTCCTGCCTCAGCCTCTCAAGCTGAGGGATTATAGGTATGCACCACTGTGACTGGTTTCATGTTGTTTTTTTCTTTAAATAATCATTATTATCATGGTTTGTATCAATGCTTCAACCAACTTATCTTTCAGTGCCTTTATCTCCACTTGCACTCCATGCCATGACATCACTGGTGACAATTCAAGTAACCATGTTACGCATTCCCTAGTTACCAGTGTCCCATTTCCCTAGCAACAGGCATAACTGAACATGCTTGACCTATGTGAGCCAACTAACCATTTTCTTTTTTGTTGTTGTTGTTTACTCTTAAATTCTATAATGGAGATACGTGGATCTGAATAAATGAAGAGACCCTAATACTCCCATATTTTTATGGCACCACATAGAGGGCCTGGGGTTTAGCTTCACACAACCCTGAGTGCAAAGCCCATTTCTGTTCTTCACTATCGGTTTAAGTTGTTTGAGTCTCTGTTTTTATAATTGTCATCTATAATCAAATTGTGTTGTCTGGATGTTCTAGGGCTACCATAATAAAATGCCATGTACTGGTCTCTCCATCCACATAAATTTATTTTCTCATACTTCTGCAGTCTGGAAGTCCAAGATCAGGTACCAGAATGGTTAGGTTTTTATGGGGACTGTCTTCCTTGATTGCAAACAGCCATTCTTCCATTGTGTGTGTGTGTCTGTGTGTAATAGGTAGATTTCTCTTCCTCTTCTTAAAAAAAAAGCATTCCTATCAGATTATGAACTAATTCTTATTTTCTTCAAAAAGCCCTATCTACAAATAATCTCATTGGTTCAGAGATTCTTGGTGTGAATTGGTAGGATCACAGTTCAATCCATATAATGTATCTATCTGATAATGGTTATGATGTGTGGAAATAATGTCTCCTCATTATTTAGTAGTGTACATGGTTTAGGACACATATTTCTCCTCCTTCTGCCTCTTTTTCTACTTTCAATTCATTATTAGCAATTTTACAATTATGAATTAAGCCTAACCAGATCCAATTGATCTCTTCCAGAAATAATTTCACTTCCCAGAATGGTCGAGGCCATGAAAACCCTCATTTATTACAGAAATGTGATCTAGAGGATGAGCTTAGTGATGACATCAAAGCTCCCAAGATCTGCAGTGTAGAATTCCTCTGTAAAATACAAATGTTAGAGGCAAGTGTTCTGACCGTGGAGAAGGGATGAAGTGCAGCTCTTGTGGGTTCTTTATTGGGGCTTTCATTTAGGCTGTGCTGTTGTCTCCTTAGTCACACTACACTTTTTGCCACATTACCTGAAGCATCAAACATTAAAATATTAGTTAATAGCAAGTCATTATCTCTGATATGATATATACTGATATTTATTTTAGCATAATTTGGTTAGGTGACAGATATTGAAGTACTGTCTTTAAAATAAGTATTAATTACATTTCCATCCAAAAGGGGGCTATAAAACCAGTTTTGGTGAGAAGGCAGATGAATAAAAGAGCCCAGTGTCTGATTGTGCCTTTTGTGTGAAAAAATGAACTAGGCAGCATAGGTAAGATCCAGCAAGTTTTAATGAATTGGATAGCATAGATTCTTTTTATAGACTCTGGGCTCAGGAGGAAGCCTTGGGTATCTATCCCTATAGTGATTAGTGATGTTTATATATATATATATATATATATATATATATATATATATATATATATACCTACTGCTAGCAAAATAACTTCTAATGAATTATACAACAACTCTATTAAGTTTATATTGCAGTTCTAGGTAGAGTGTAGAAAATAGACCCAGAGCAATTGATTAATTTTGATTAATTTTCCCAAAGTAAATTCAGAAGTAAGTACAGGTAAGAACTGAATGTGCAGCAATTGGATAAAAAAGTTTGGGGTTTTCCTCTATACTGTGGTACCTCATGGTCTTTGAGTGTCTATTCTACATCACTTCAGAGGTTGCCTATCTTTAGTTCTGGAAAGATAACATTTTACAGCAAGAACATATTCACATTTCTCATTGATTCGTTAACCAATTTTGAAGTAATAAGAAATGTATCGTGTTGACAGTTTTATCTAATAAGACAATTTAAACAAGATATCATACTGGTTAAAAGTAACTTGTCAACTTTCTCTACTGTATATTATAAAATATTTAATGAGCAATTAGTTTGTTAGGCAATCTACTTGGTGTGTTAAACTCTCCAAGTACAGCTGTAAAGGACTCTTCTCTTTGAGTCTTCAAAACAATCTTGTTGAAGTATCTATGATGATTCCAATTTTACAAATGAATTTTCTGAGACACAGCAATGGTTGTGCATAGCCTGTTCAAGTTTCCAGAGTTAGAGCCTGGCAGACACACAGTTCAAAGCCAGTTCTCCCAATGGTTCTCATCTGTCCCCAGACCTGCATATCTATCTGGAATTACCATTTCCTCAATACTCTTATAGGACCTGATGTAAAGAAGAGTATATTGGGGCTGGGATTGTGGCTTCGCTGTAGAGTGCTTACCTTTCATACATGAAGCACTGGGTTTGATCTTCAGCATCACATAGAAATAAATAAAAGTATTGTGTCTATCTCAACTAAAATTATATTTTAAAAAAGAAGAAGCAATATATACCTAGGTACTGTGGCTTTAGCTATCCTAGGTGCATGCTAATTTTATGTATAGGAGAGTTAAGTCAAGATTGGGGTTTAAATAATATCACCAAGACCCTAGTGAAAATGTGAGTGTAGCTAGTGACAAACATTGGAAGACAAATACAAATAAGAATATAATACAAAATAAATGAAGCATGTGGTGTTTTACAACATGTTTATATATTGAGCAGCAAATTTTCCACTAAAGGCTATAATTTTTCACTTAAAAACTATAATCTTTCAATAACAAAGTTCTTATCTCAGAGCAATAATAAGCTTCTCATTTTTAAGTATCATTTATAATCCTTAAATTACATTTTTTGAAAAGTATTAATAAAATATCATCTAAACTCCTGCCATGAGAGCTGTTAGTTTCAGCATAAAACCTTCTGTTGGAAGAAAATGATCACTGGGTCTTGAATTTTGTTCCACTTGAGGCAGTTACTTTCCCCCAGTGGGGTTGACATTGTGTGGCCACAGGAGAGCATCATGGAGTCCTTGCTCCATGAGATACACTCTAGTATATGATCCCCTGAATACATCTTTCACTGTGGATTTACCAAGTGTTTTTTCATTAAATCTAAACACTCTGACAGCTATTACATTAACGTAGGAGGTAAAAGGTTTATTTATACAAATATGTTCTATATGTTCAATGAGAGATTTTGGAAGAAATGTTGAGAGAACAACTGAATAAATATAAATATTTGTAAAGTCTTCAGCAAATTTCTAGCAATCTAACCATTTCACATCATTTGCTAATCCAGTGATATTTCCTCACCAAACTTCAAACTCAGACTATATGCAAGAAAAACATTTGATTCCTTTTCCCACTTTCCAAAATGTCCCAAAGGAAACCAAGAGAATTTTATGAAAAATGTGATATGCAAAGAGGCAAAGCATTCTATTACAGGACTCTACCCAATAATACAGACTTTAGAATGCATGTCACAAAAAATGTCACTAAAGAGTGTTTGCTCAATATTTCATTATTATAACTTCTCTGTTTAAATGAAATACAGAAATTCATACAAGCGTATTTATAAGTCTATGATATGTGGTGGCACATATCTTCATCTTAGCTATTCAGGAAACTGACACAGGAGCATGATACCAAGTTCCAGGCTATCCAGGGCAACTTTGCGTAACCTTGTTTTAAAAAAAAATGTTGGTGGAGGATGGTAGTAGAGCAATTGCCCATCATGTGTGAGGCCTTGGATTCAATACCTGTTACCACAGAACAAGACATAACAAAATAAATCAAATAAACAAACCATCTCTATAAGTCAACAACTTGTCAACTGAAATAAACGCATAAAAGATGACCTTCAAGCTTGTGGTTGTGTTGTCAGTATTGCTTTCCTGAAGGCCTCTTTGACATCTTTGTTTCTGAAGCTATAGATGATAGGGTTGAGCAATGGGTTGATGATGGTGTAGAAGAGGGCAGCCACTTTGTCGTTCTCCAGGGAGTAGCTGGCACTGGTTCTTGTGTATACGAAGAGCAGAGATCCATAGAAGAGCATGACGGAGACCAGGTGGGAAGCACAGGTGGAGAATGCCTTGTGCCTACCTGAGGCTGAGTGCATCTTCAGGATGGCCAGGAGGATGTGGGCATAGGAGATGAGGATGGCCAGAAGGCAGGAGAGAAACGCAAAGCCAACCATACTGGAAAGGATTATGACATAGACCCGAGTGTCTGTGCAGGACATTTTTACCAATGGTAGAACATCACATAAAAAGTGGTCGATGACATTGTTACCACAGAAACTCAGGCGGAAGGTGTTAGCAGTGTGGGCTATGGCATTCAGAAAGCCTCCTATGTAGGATCCAGCAACAAGCCGATTACAAACAGAAGAAGACATGGTGCCTGAATAAAGCAATGGGTGACAGATTGCCACATAGCGGTCATATGCCATAGATGCGAGGAGATAGCTCTCGGTATAGACTGCTACACAAGAAAAGAAAAACTGAGCCCCACATCCAGCCAAGGAAATTCGTCTATCTTCTGAGAAACAGTTAGCCAAGATTTTAGGGGTATATACAGAGGTGTACCAGAAATCCAAAAAAGACAGATTGCCAAGCAAATGGTACATATCAGCTGGGCATCAATCTTGATTAAGATGACCAGGGTCATATTCCCTGCCATGGTTAGCAAATAGAGCATCAGAAATGTTACAAACAGAATCAGCTGCCACCGGGGATCTGCTGAGATGCCCACCAAGATGAATTCAGTCAGGATGGTGCGATTTCCCACTTCCATGTCCACAAAGGGAAAAGCCTGAATATCATACTGAAGTGAAATGTAACTTAGTGATAATTTGAGATAGTTAGAGAAATAAACAGAATATCAACTAAGTCAATAACTCTTAAGGGGATTGAGAAAATTGATTTCTCTCTCTATAGAATCATAAGACTTCAGACTGCGTCTTTGGAAAACTACTGGTGTTGGAGTCAAAAATACTGTTTTAAAATTAGAGCTTCTATTTATTACCTGTTTAATGCAGGGCCATTCCCTTATCAAACAATGGAGAAGAAATCAGCTCATGAAGATGACTAATAGCTTCTTGGCAGGCTGTCTGATGATGTGAAGATTCGCATGAGAACACTCAGCTGAATGTTTGGTACATAGGCTGCAATTGAAAAAAAATTAGCTTCTGTCCATAACTTAAGAAAACATCTTATGTATCAAGTATTGTGATGGTATTTACAGGAATACTGATATACTGCACTCTTCCTGCTGCTATCAAGTGCAATTGGGAGTCTCATATTAGGAACTCTCTGCCAGTTACCTCTCAGGTCCTATACTTAACTGATTGAATTCTCACCTGTTTTATAAAGCAGGTGGTTTTATTATGATATTGTTTTAGTTGAAGAAACTGAAGCATAGAGTTTTAAGTAGCAAGTCCAAAGTCACAAAGCAAAACAATAAAAAAATAAGGGATAAAGAAAAATATACCATAGCTCTCTATTGATTACAGGGCGAAATCTGTTATTTAACTCTTGAGTTTTACATGTCCTGGTCAATCATTTGCTTATAACCCCAGATATCAATAGGCTTTCTGTGATTCTTTTTTAGTTGTGGAAACTTGTCAATAACAGGTAAATAAGCCTTAGCTAACTTGCTGGATATTGAGGCATGTGGTCAAATTCTGTTATTCAACTTGATGTGAAGTTGGGTCACCAGCATGGGCATGAGGCCATTCTATATGATATAGTGACCAACTGAGTAAAGAGCTAACTAAAAACTTACGAAGAAGTCCAGTTGCAGGCAGACAGGTCTGGGACAGGCAGAATTGAATAAATGTAGTTCTATCTGTGTACCTCTTTTAGTCAGCTTTTTTACTGCTATGACTAAAGGACCTGACCAGAAAAATTGTAGAGGAGGAAAAATTTATTTGAGGGCTCAAGGATTTTGAGATCTTAGTCCATAGAAGGCCGGCTGAAGATGAGGCAGAACATCATGGTGGAAGAATGTGGCAGAGGGAAGAAGCTCCCATGGTGGTCAGGAAGCAGAGAGAGCTCTCCACTTACCAGATACAAATATATACCCCCAAAGCCATGCCCTGAATTCCCACGTCCTGTAGCCATACCCTCCCACCTCAGTTACCACTCAGTTAATCACTATTAGGGGATTAATTCACTGATTGGGTGAAGTCTCTCACAACCCAATCATTTCTTCTATGAACCTTCTTGCATTGTGTCACACATGAGCTTCTGGGGGACACCTCACATCCAAACCCTAACCGTATCAATTCAAATTCCAGTACTTAGCAACTTTAATCTCAGGAAAGTCTTTTAACAAGCCCTCAACCCACAATATTCACCTCGGAACATGCCAAGAATTTTCAATGCTATATAGATCAGATGCATAGTGCAGAGCTGGAAAGAAAAAAACAATACTTATCAAAATAATGGCTGCTATCTTCAAAGGGAAAGGAGTAATGATTGATTGATTTATGAGAACTGAGATCCCAGGGGGCAAAACAAATAAAAAAACAAAAAACAAACAAACAAACAAAAAAACAATCAAGTTTTTACAAAGAAGCAAAAAATTAAGCCAGGTGGTGGTGTCACTCAGAATTTTGCTACATTCTAGAAATTTATTATTTTTGTTATCTAATCTTATGTAATTTTTTAAGGTTCACATATTTTTGCTAACTTTTTCTGTAATGAGAACAAGTAAAATCAAATGTTAATACACTTCAATTATGCAATTTGGTATTGTCAACTGTAAGCATCATGTTGTCTATTGGAGCCCTAAACTTACTCTGCTTCAACAGAGAGGCTATGCCCTCTGTCTCCTCAATTCCCTATTCCCCAGCTTCTGGCAGCAACCACCCTGGTCTCCTTTCTATGATTTCACAGTTAGGTAATAATGGCTGTGTTTGTCTTCTTCAGTCTGCTCAGCTTCACTAAAATGATGTTCTACATGTTCACCCATGTTGCAATAAGATTTTTAACAGAAATGGGAAAAAATAACCTTAGAGTTCACTTGGAGCTACAAAAGCTCCAGTGTATCTAGGGTCATCACAACAATAACAACAAAAAGCTAATATAGAGGCTTCACACTTCCTGATATTAAATTATTTTCCAAAGCCATAGTAATTAAAAGAGCATATGACTGGCATAGAATCCCACATGTAGACTTATGGAACATGATGGAGAGCCCAGAAATCAATCTGTGCAACTGATCCTTGAAAATCTCACCAAAAAATACACAATGGGGGAAGGAGAATTTCTTTGTTGTTGGGCATTGGAAAAACTAAGTATCCACTTGCAAAAGAATGACATTGGTCCCATGTTTCACACCACTCATAAAAATTAACCTGAAATGGATTAATGACATAAATAAAAGATATTAAACTATGCACATCTAGAAGAAAACACAGGTCAAATGCTTGATATTTGTCTTAGCAGTGACTCTTTTGGATATGATAGAAACACAGACAAGAGCTACAAAAATAGAAAGAGAGGTGATTACATCCAACCTTAATATAATTTGACAAAGGAGTGATATTATTGGAAGTACAAAGTTTATTGGCCTTGGACTGAGGAATCCTAATAGGGATATAGCTCTAATACTGATTATGTGGGTGATTTTAGGAGAGTACAGACATCTCCTTCCAGCAACATATTTTATGCATCTAAATATTTTTTGATACTTTTGCAAGCATCAACATTCTATTATTCAGATTTCTTAACATCTCTTATAGAATCCATTATAAAAAAGTAGCCTCCCATTGCAATACTATGTAGAGGAACAGATTAGGAATCTTCATATACATATTTATCCTTGCATACATAGGACAGTACAATCATTTTGGTTCAACTTGTTTATCTTATTAAAAAATGACTAAAATTTTTGGAGTGATGTCCTTCTTTGAGGGCATGACAAACATAATTGTAATATTATAAGTAGATATACAGATATGTATGTATATGCACATATATACAGATAATACTACAGTGTCTACAAACTTTCTAATACATGTATCTGAATTTTCTGCACTTGATTCTCGGGTTAAGATTTCTAGCAATTGAAAATGCCTAGGTTTCTGTCCAGTGCTGATGTTTCCATAAGAAGAGTTAATTAGTTGAGCATGTTGAATTCTGAATTCCCAATCTGTTTCTAAAAAGTGGCGCGTCTATTCATTTTCTGAATTAATATTTTGATATTTTAATTTTTCGGATTGTCAAGCCAAAAATTAGGAATCAACCACAGCTTTAGTCTTCTCTGTGCTCTTTAATAATACAGAAAATCCTTGCATCCTTATCTATCTTGAGTTGTGTCTTTCTAGCCACTTGTGCTGCTACCAGTCTGGTGTAAATGACCATCATTTTTTTTCAGAGTATTGAAGTAGCTTCTCACTGGTCTGATCACCTGTTCCTGCCATATTCTATTTCAACATAGCATCCAGTATGATACTTGAAACTCAAGAAAGGGAGTAAGTGGAATTTAAAATACCATAATCTCTCAATTTATACCAAGTTGAAATTAAATTTCTTACAATGGCTAGGAATTGATTCATGGCTTAGTGTTCAAATTCTAATATCCTAACATTCATTTCTCCTTAATTCTGTTGCAGCCTTGCTGACTTTACCATAGTTCTACCAACATGACATCTCTGCCTCAATCTCAATGATTATTGACTATTTTTTTCTGCCTGAAAAATTATTCTTCGTGTATTTGCAGGATTTATCTCCTTGTTTACAATGCTTCAAATGGCATTTTATGACCACACCCCTTCCTATTAACTATTTTTCCCCCATAATCTCTTTCAACCATCAAATCTCCATCCTTTTGGTTTTTGTCTGTTCATGGTGTTTTGTTTCCCTCAAGTCTTGTTTATTGAATTCACTGTTTCTTTTGAACACAGGCAACATCCCTAAGTCCAAAAGATTGCTCCATTAACTTCTCTGCTTTAATCCAGCAACTAAGTAACTAAGTAACTAAGAGACTCTTAGTAAATGAGTAAATGAAGAATTTCCCTTATGTCTTGAAGTTATTTGTCTAATGCATTTTCTGATTCTAATGTAGTTCAAGGTTATAAGTCAGGTTGTAAATCAACCAACTGGTGGACTTCCCCAACATAGTGTACAGTATTACTACTAAGAAAGAAGATTAAATTAAAAAGATTCATTCTCATGTCCTCAAATCCATCTGGACTTTGAAAAAAATTTCCAATTGATGTGGGAATGTAAAATAATAGGTCTACACTGTGCCAGAGCTTAGTATGTTAAAGCCTCCCCTACAGAATGCCTTATTGTGTGGGATCTGCTCACACAGCTATCCCCTCCTGTTTTCTTCAGGGGAGCTGTAAAAGTTCTGTAGGAATAATGTGACCTCTAGATTCTGACAATGAGAACTAAGAAATGAAACACCATTCCCTAGAAGTTTGGGAAACACAAGGCCAACTTCTTCAAAAGCAAGGCAATTTATTGTCCTCTTGAGTGTTCTCTATGGCTTATGTGACTATTCATGGTATAACAAAACTACCGACCCAATTTTAAAATTGCAGGTGAGCACATATCATTGTTTAGAATATGATTAAGCTCTCTCTCTCTGTGTGTGTGTGTGTGTGTGTGTGTGTGTATCAAAGCAGTGATCCATTTAGAGACAAATTAGACCCTATCCTCTTTGAATTGTAGCTTTTAGTTGTAATCACAGAGAGGCCCAACTGCTTTGCTGCACTTGACCTGAGGTGCTTACCTTTGGTCAGAAAGGACAGATCCTGGAAGTGACAAACTCTGTTCTCAGATGTCTAGGCATGCCTTTTTGTTGGA